AAGCCGGGATTTTTGCAGTGGCTGGAGCCCGACTGTGCAGCATGTTCCCGAGGAGCCCCACCGTGCGTCGCCCGTGTGCGCAGGGAGGCCCCACTGCAGCATGTGGCAGTGCCGTCCTCGCAGCTGCACCTCCTGTAGCTTTGCCCTAACCCACGCCAAGCGCTTGTCTGTGTAGGGGCACCAGGGTTCCCGAGGGACTGGCGTGGCCGGGCGGCTCCTGCTCCCGACGGGACTGCAGCGTCACGGACTGTGGAGCTCCCAGGGCCTCTCCCGGCTGTGCCTGCGCTGTAAATACTCCTTGGACAACTTTCAGCCAGTGGTGATAGTTTTAAATTTGACGATGTTGTGTGGGAATGTTTGGTGCAGGTGGGGGGACCTTGCCCCCCTGCCCACAGTTCTGCTTCTATGTGCAGCCCCTGCGGAGTGTGGTGTGTCTTGCAATATATATTTAATCCTATTTAAGGTAAAACCTGCTTTCAACTCGATTTCTTCTAACAGTGGATCCAGTACTTAACTGCTTCCCTACGGATGATCACAATTCCTTCTTCTGTTGACAACTGTAACTTGAGGTCACATGGAAAATGCTGCTATTGATCATATTTCCCTGCTGATGGCCCCAACTCCTGCTGTCTCTGTGGTGACAAAGGGGGTGTGAATCGCTCTGCTGGTGCACGCAGTTGCTAAAGGAAGTTTCCTTTTTCCAGGTTTCTTAGCAGAAGACAAATTCAAAGTCTGATTATGCTAGAAGTAATAGAAGACAAATCTGTCAAGGTTAATGAAATGCCTGTTAGCTGTGAAGGAGCAGATCTTTTGTACTCGTGTATTCCCATATGGAATCGTGGGGACTGGTGTAAGCCAGCACGGCCATGGGTGTGCCCAGCCTGGCCACCGGGGGCACGGGGACCTTGGGCCGGGGCACTCGTGTGCTGTGAGCGGGGGAAGTCTGTATAATCGCTGATTTTAAATAAAGTTCTTTCCAAATGCATGTTGTGTTCTCTTGAGGTTGGCAAAGCGGGGCTGTGCTGGGTGTTGAAATTCGGCTGCTTCACGCCAAGCACAGGTTAATTGGCTGTTCCCCGAGAGGAGCCCCCGTGCCATGGGGCATTCCCTGCTCTGCTGCCCGGTCTGGGGCCGTGGGGGCTCTGGACTCACCCGGGTGCTGCTCCCCATCTCCCTACAGGGGTTCAGCAGGTGGCTGCTCCCCACTCGTCTCTCTGGCCCCTGGGAATGCCGCAGAGGCCTCGGGTCTGACAGGTTCCTGCTGCCACTGCAGGAACTGTTCGAGGGCCTTGGGGACTGGAATGTTCAGGGCGGTTTGTACAGATTCGTTCTTCAAGGCTCAGTAGAAGTCTTGCTTCGGTGCCAGCACCAGACGCAGGGGTGTGCAGTGCTGTGCCCTGCAGTGGCTCTTGGCCCTGGGCAGCCACACGCTGGAGCAGGGGCTGCACTGGGGGCTCTCCAGAGAGGCCTCCTGGCCCCAGCTGTGCTCTGGCTCCATGTGCCCAAGTACAAATGCTGCAAAGCACCACGCTTGTTTCTTCTCAGAGACGTGAGAGAGCAACACCCAGGTTTATTCGCCCTGGTGAGACGCCAGTTCTCGTTTGCAGGCGCTGGCAGCTGAGGTGTTGCCAGCGCTAGGGGACGTGTGACGCGGGGCTGCGTTTGCAGACGCGGGCAGGTTCTTCAGCAGAGCTGAGCTGGCTGAGGTGATGTCATTAACCACCCGCAACTCACTGTTACCTCAAATCTTGCCTTTTGTTTTCCTGTGAAGCCTTCTTGGGGCTGGCTGCACGACTCCGCTTCAGTATCGCATCAGGGCTGGCACATGGTTTGCCTCCCCTGCGCCCCTGCCAGGCCCCGCGTCTGCCCTGTGCCCGGGGTCACGGCTGGGACAGGGCTCCTTCCCCGCGGCTCCGAGCAAACACCGCGGGCCCTTTTGGACACAACGTCCCCCGACAGAGCCGCCCCCTGCGAGGCGAACCGCGGGCCCCGAGAGACCCCGCCCGGCTGCGAACACGGGGGCACGGGGGGGACCCCGGCGGCACAGGGCCCGGGCCTTGTCGAGCACAGCCGTGCGCGGCCCCTCATGCCCCCGGGCTGCGACAACGGGACAGCGGGGCCGCGGAGGCGGACGGGGAACCGGCCCGGGGGGGCGGCGGGACCGGCGGCTCGCACTAGGGACCGCCCGGGAACAGCGCAGACAGGCGCGGCCACACAGCCCCGGCCCCACAGCCCAGCACACAGCAAAGCGCTCCACAGCCGGCCGGCCCCACAGCCCCGGCACAACCATGGCTTGCCGCAGCCCCGCCCCGCAGCCCGCCCCAACAGCCCCCGGCACACCATGGCTGCCCCAGCCCCCGCCCCACAGCCGCGCACAGCCCGGCCCACCATGGCTGCCCGGCCCGCCCCACAAGCCCCACAGCCTCGCCCCACCAGCCACCGCCCCACAGCCCCGGCCACACCATGGCTGCCCAGCCCGCGCCCACAGCCCCGCCCCCACGCCCGACACCATGGCGCCCGGACCCACAGCCCCGCCCCACACACAGCCCCGCCCCACACACAGCCCCCGCCCACAGACCCACAGCCCCGCCCCAGCACACAGCCCCGCCCTACAGTCCCAGTCCCACAGCGCCGTCCCGCGGCCCCGCGCGGGAGCTGCGGAAGGGCCGGTCTGTGCTCACCAAACCTCCAGGAGCGGAGCAAAGCAAACGAAGGTTTTCAAACAGCGTGAGTTCAACCTTTGCTCCATCTCTATTTCCTGCAGATTTACTGAAGGGTTTCTCCTTTCGGAGCAAGCGCCTCCGCAGCCCCCCTGAGGGGCGTGGGTGCCCCTCGCTCTCGGCACAGCCCCACGCCCTCCCCCTCGGGGGGTGAGCGCGGGCCCTGCCCGCTCCCGGGAGGGTTGGGGTGCTGGGGACCATCCTCAGGCTCGGGGCCCCTCTGCTCCGGGCAGCGCATCTCTGACCACCTCAGAGAACCACGGGTCGAACATCTCTGTTCTGTTTCGCTCAAAAAATGGACAGGTACAGCGTTCCCTCCATAAAAGTTTTAATCAACTACTTACCTGAGGGACTCCTGTTCCGAGAAGTCCCCAAAATTGTCCCTTTCTACTTACTTTAACAGCATCCTCCTCGCGGTGCAGCCCTGGAGGGGAACACACGGAGCTCCTGCAGTACTTTGGTTTCTCCTCTGTGAGCCGGGCCCTCCTCGCACCAAGGACTCCCAGACGTGCTCCCAGCAGGCAGAGCACCCACCCACACCTGCCGGGAAGATCGTTCTGGTGTTACTTCAGCAAGAACTTTCTAATACACACACACTGAGCTGATCCTCACCGGGAAGGGCAGGCAGAGCTGTTTCCAGGACACGGACGTTTCTCTAAGATCTGAAGGCACGAAAACTTGCCGTTTCCAGTGTTGCTCCTGTTTCACCTCAGACATAAACCTGAGCAGAGTTAGACACACACAAGGCTCAGGTACTGAAGCAGAGGTTCACAGCAGTGAACCAGCAGGCCCAGGTGTTAATTTACAGCATCACTGCAAACCCAAACCCAAGAGGGCCACTGACAGCATCAGATGATGCTTCTCCTTGAAGAGAAGGCACCAGGCTGTTGCAAAAGAAGCAGTGGTAACCCTGGCACTGGTCTGTTAGGCAACATCAGAGAGACAGTTTCTCCATTTTCTCCAGAAAAAAAGGGCTACAGAATTTAGTTACATTGCAACAACATCTACAGCCAAAAACTTCAACAAAACTGCAGTTTAATTTCAGAAAATGTGTTAAAATATATATATATTTGTACATCAATTTGACACACTGCGTTAGTTTACACAAATGATGGTCTTCCTTGAAATTGTATTTATGAAATGTACATTTTTAATTTAAATACTCAGTATACACTGCACTTAATCTGCATGTTGCATTTATTAAATACATTAAAATCTGCAATGTAACAAAACGTTTTCTGCATACGAAATTCAAAACACCATTTTAAATGAACAAAAGATGGCTCACTTCATTTATTTGTTTTAACAACTAGTGCCTAGCACACTAGCTCAGCTCCACCAACACCAGCTGTTCTTTCTCTTTATTGACATTGTTCACAGACTAGTACATATTACACTAAGAGTGCTGGATAAAAACATGAGGTACGAAAGTGGTTCAAAGATTACAGGTCATGCAGATCATGCGAGACAGCAAAGAAAGTCGTGAATGAGAAAACACTAAATAAAAATACATAGAGAATGTGCATTATAAAATAAAAATAAAAAAAAAAAACACCAAACCTCAATTACACAGCTTTGCTTCTTTGGTTACAAAGTAGGTTGAACAATTTCACAGCTTTTTATTCCCACCCAAAAAACAAACCAAAAACGAAATGTCAAAAAGCAGAGGAATCGTGGCCCTTTCTCTCTATTAGAAAGTAGAAACAGAAATGAGCAAAGTTTTCTTCATCAAAATAGCCCATCACTTATTTATTATATCACAAGGACTGGTGACTACCTGTACAGATGCACTATGGTCTTCATACTTACACTCTATACAAAATTTACATTCAAGCTGGATCTTTACTACCGTAAATAAATACCAAAGGTCAACTGCCATTAGTGTTAGAAATATGCCAGGGTTCTTTGTTCAATTATTGCCTAGACATTGTATCTATTAACGCAATCCCATCTACCATTTTACCCATACAGACATTTATTAAAAAAAAATTTAAAAAGTTCTGTGACATTGTTCATGTACATTATGAAAATAGCAGCCCTGTAATAAATAAAACAAATAAATGAAACTAACGTAGGCAAATGTTACTTATATGAAAAGAACAGTGGCTCTGAAGAGGAATTGTTGCTCCTTACCAGACAGCAAGGCTCAAAGCAACCCAGGGGCGATGGGAACCTCGGAGAGCCACCCAAGCTCTGACAGCCCTCCCTCCCTCCCGCAGCCCAGGGAGGATCCGGGCTCAGGGACTGCCCTGCAGCCTCTGCCCAGGCAGGGCCCGCGGGGCCAGGCCGGGGGTGATTGTCTAATACTGCAAAGGCCGAACACGGACAGCAGCGGCCGCGCTGGGGCTCACGCCGAGGACACGTTGGGCTGCGCCGGGGAGCTGCTGCTGGGGGGGCCCTGCTGGCTGGAGAGCTGGGACAGCTGATCGTTGTTGGACAGCGACTTCAACAGTGCGTTTTCTCGTTCAAGTAAAGAGTTTCTTTCCACTAATTCCTTTATTTGTTCCTTCAGGACTTCCACTTCTTCTCTCACTGCATACATCAAATGGCTTTTCACTAGATCCTGCAGAGAACAAGTGGACAGTTACACCAAGGGAAAGAACACTTCCCTTCACCCCAGCCCCAGAATTTACTGTTACTGCTTTCACTGCAGTAAGCCTGGAAAACCAAAGCACTCTCACTAAAAAATATATGAATAAATCAGCCTTCAAGCACAAACGACCCAGCCCTTTTGTTCCCTTGAAGCGGCCCTGACATCAAAAGCTGCATCCCAGCTCCTCAGAAGGAAAGCACCAGCTCTGAAGCTGTGACCTGGGGGTCGGGGTTTGCAGCATACAGGCCCTGCACTGAGGTGTGTGAGCACCAAGATATAAGAAAGCTTTTACATCAGCAGTAGCAAAAATCCAACAGCTGTAAGGGAAGCTCAGCAGTATGTTAAGGATGGCACACTTTACTCTTCTAGTAATGAACTGAAAACTAGTGATGAACTTGGCTAAAGCAACAGACTGAAATGCAGTATTTATTTTCATCACCCCTTTAAGTTCAATCAGCTTGTTCACAGCAATTTGTAAGAAAATTCACTGACTAACATTTCTGGGCCAACGGTAAAGGTAATCATGGTTTGTGGTCGTTCACAGATATACAGAAAATCCATTTTTCAAATGATGGTCTCAGTCTGACCCATGTGGAGGGTCACAGAAACACAACACAGCTGGAAACAGGCTCAGTGACGAACCACATTAATCCTATTAGAAACAACAACTTATATTTTACTTACCATTGCCTGTTCTATTTTGTTGTCAATGGCAACAACACTCGCACCAGATGCACTGTAAATACAAGGAGAAAACTGTGAGATTTACTGTATCACTCAGGTAAATCCACGCACCTGCAGGACTCCTGAAAGATGCTGTTGCTGGAAGGCCGAAGCTCAGAGTCAAGAATTGAGTGCACAATCACAGGAGTGTCCCATGTCCCCCCCCAGCTGCCCAGTACAGCTGGAGCTCTTAAGAGATGCTGCTCCTTCAGTTTATACCTCCTCAGACTGTGCTTATGACACCCACAACCACAAAAATGCGTTAGAATAAACACTAACTAAATCAACTGCTTTGATTCCTGGCCTCATTTTCCAGCTTTCTTTACTGGGGAAAATGGGGATTCACAGATATTCCTGGGATCCTTACCTCTATGTTATTCCTGACAAACTCTTTTTATAAAGCAATGAAGTAAAAACCCTGTTATAATGGTTGTTCTCTGGTTTCACTCAAAGTCAACCTACCAGGTAAGAAGTTCCTGGCTCAGCCCTGCCTGTGCAGCCCATGGCAGCGGGAAGGTGAGACACAACTGGAGCCCTGACCCCAGGAGCACTTCCTCACTCCCAGAAATTCCCCATGGATCTCATCTGACAGCTGACAAACACACGGGTCACAGTTAGGGCCAGGCTGTTCCAGAGGCACACCAGTGCAGCACATCCAACAGCACATCACACAGTGAGGATGTGCATTTACTGTGCTGACAGGATCCTGAACTGCAGCTCTGAAGCCCGGGGGGCAGCAATCCAGGCCCCAATGTCTGGGGTCTGTTTCCAGGTCACACCGCAGGCACACGAGCCAGTCCCTCACGTGCAGCTCTGGAGTTGGGGTTCTGGTGGCCAGGGGTGTCCCTGCTCTCCCACAGCCTGGGATCCCTCTGTTTGGAGAGGAGCTGTAGATCTCCCAGGGTAGGCAGGGTACACCCCCTCCGTGTCGCCCTCCCATCCCGGTCCCAGGGGTCCCATTTCCTCACCAGCTCTGGTCTGACCCAGGACAGCGGTTCCTGTGACAGCCCCACCAGTGAGAGCTGCTGATAAGGGTCCCAGCCAGGGCCGTGGCTATCAGCAACACACAGCCACATTTAAAAGAGTTAACACGGGGAAAATGCAAGGCTTGCAGTCCCGCTGGGAAACCTGCCTCTGGAATTACACAACACTCACCGAAACCCAGGCTTTTACAAGTATGGCCAATGCTGCTGAGCACATTGTCACAGATGTGAAACAAGGCTCAGTTCTGAAGAACGACATTGCTCAGAAAAGCTCATTTTAACAGGTCCCACAGAACTGTCAGTACCAGCACTGAGCACACAGGAGCAGAGGGAATCAGCTTTGCAAACTGGGGGAGTAACAGCCTCTATTTCTACACTGAATCAAGCTTGTAACCCAAACCAAAAGTGCTGAACTCCCATTTCACAAGAAAATTTTTCCAGTCTCTTATTGTCTTCTAAGCCTCTTTCAAGCCCTATCTGTGGTAAACCTCCTCAGAATAAGAAGTATCTATAACCTGTGCTGAGGGAAGTATCCCCTTCCATCTTAAATTAACATGCTTCAAACTCATCTGGCAGCATCAGAAGTGTCTGTGTTCAAGAACCACAAAATCCCCAACAGCCTTTCATGGACACCACTCTACGGGTCAGGTGAAGCAGCTCTGAAGAGGTGACAAGAGGAAAATTAAAGTAAACACCACACATGGCAGTGGGATTTGCTGCTCCATCTTTGCAGCACCATCACACACCTTCTGTCAATACCTGTCTAGTTAAACTTGAGACTGGGACTTTATTTTTTAAATAATTACACCGCAAAATAGTTGAAAGGGATGGAAGAACAAAGTCTATTGCACTGCTCCGAGTTAAGGCACTCGAGCAGCTCCATGAGAAAGACCAGCAGCCTTCCCTCAGTCTCCTGGAACACCCGTGGCACACTGCAGAGGCACCTCTCCTATGCTGTACCTCGTGCCCCAGCTCCCCTCTGCCTGTTAGATGGGTGCAGCGTTCACCACGTGGGTGTAAAACCTGTCCCTCCCCACACTGTGATTGGAATGAGCCTGAGAAACCATTGCTCTTCCACCCATATCCCACACTTAGAGTGACACCAACAGTGCTGAAAGCCCTAAGCAGCTCATACACTACTGTTACTCATGTCAGAGTTCTTGCTGCCCTTATCCCCGGAGAATGTGCACTAAGATTGAAGTGCTGAGTTCGGATTCCAGCCCTACTCCCTGCTCCCTGCACCCATCCCAACTCCAGCAGGCAGAGACCCTCACCCAGGAGCAGCCCCATGCTGACGGAGCAGTGCCCAGTCCACCATCAGGATAAAATCACCTGACGTGTTCCAGGTCACTTTCTACAAGCAGATGAGAATTAGATTTTAGGGTAGCACATCTGCTACAAGATTCTGTCCTTTATTCATTTTACAGTGCTCCCCACTCACTCAGCTCCTGTGAGATGCTGAGCAGCAGAGCCCTCCAGAGCCAGCTACTCTCACAGGACACTCCAAATATAATGCTAAATCTTAAGATTTTGTACTTTTCACAAATTCTGAGCTCTTGATATTAAATCACTGTTTGCATAAAGTATTTTATCCCATAGCTTCAGAATGAAATTTATAGATACAATCTAGTCCTTATGAAAAGGCCAGGAAAAAACCAAAGTATCTGTTAAATAAGTCTTTCTGGATAAGTGACAGGAGTGACACATTCTGTGAGTGCACCATCCACTGCAGAGCCAATGCTCTGACTTGCAAACCCTGGAGTTAGAAGTGGAAAGACCCCATTCAGCTATTACAAAGAGACCAATTACTGATTGCTCCAGGAGCTACAGAAGTCTGACAATTATTGTCAAAGCTGAAAAAAATCCACATTAAGTAACACAGAACAGATTAAGAGGTGCATTAGGTATGTAATATTTTTTTTGTAACTGCAAACCCCCCACCCCACATTGAGCTTCTGCAGCCAACCAGGAACTGAACAGACACACTGTAATTCCAGGGAACAGTTTGGTTTGACTTAGACCTCTGAGTTAAGGACATGCCAATGAAGGTTCTGCCCAAAAAGACATTATATTGGTAAATCAAGTTCGTGTTGAAGCCCACTAAGTACAAGGCAAGATTTACAGTCAGCAAAACCATCCAAGACCCCCAAGTACAGTTTGTCATTGTAGAGATGGATAGTAAACCCAACACTTTTCTACATTACACACCAGGTAGCCAAAAGCCTATTTAGTCTGAAAAATTCTCATTTTGATGGTTTAAAAAAAATATATGTGGTGCTTGCTTTACCTATTAAATTTTCTTTATCTCACCCCATGAGTTCTCTCACTCTTCCTGTTCTGGTGGGAGGTTGAGTGAGCAGCTTTGTGGGGCTCAGATGCCAGGGTTAAACCACAACAGCCCTTTTTGGCACCAAGTGTGGGGCTGGAAGGTTTCAAGATAAGGACAGATTTGCCTGGGATGTGCTAGACTGAATGGACAGCACAGCTGCTCCAGCCTGGCCACCCCGTGCTGGCCATGGGCTCTCTCCCCCGTGGCAGAGGCCATTGCCCGTTAGTGGCCACGTTTCGCTTGGCTCTGCCACACTGCTCTTATCACCTCCCTGCCGGGCTGGGAGCGCTCGATAACGGCCACGTGCCTGTCCTGGCAGGTGCCCAGGGCAGCGCTGCCACGCTGGGCAGGCTGGAGCTCCAGCCCAAGGGACTGTCACCTGATGAGTGCACAGGGGAGCAGAGACTCACCTGGAGCCCGCTGCCAGAGCAGGTGGGTGCCCAAAGGAGGCCATGACCCCTTCCAAGTCCATGTTGGAACAGGCTCCTAACGGGACCTGTGCCCCTGGAGAAAGGAGCTCAGGCTGGAGCAGGTTTGCTGGTAGGACCTGTGACCCCACAGAACCCACACTGGAGTTCCTGAAGGACTGACCCTGCAGAAGGGACCCACGTTGGAGCAGCTCATGAAGAACTGCAGCCCATGGGCAGGATCTCATGCTGGAGGCAGGGGAGACTGTGAGATTCCCCAGCAGTCTGTGGTGAAGACCACGATGAGGAAAGCTGCAGGACGCACCACACCACCTCTCCTGTCCCGAGTGACCACCGTGGGAGCCCAAAGTCAGACTAAACGATCACAACAGACATTTGTAGACAATTTATGGACATTTTGCAAGGGTGGTCAACAGACTAGGTCAACAGACTAGACTAGGTAACAGCATTTCACATTTAAATGAGATTGAAATCCTACAGTCTGGATGATGTAAACTAATTCTGAAGCTTTTCAGTCAATAACAAAAGCCATATTCCATATTCAGCTGTATTAATGATTATCTGCATACTACTGTCCCAAGGAATTTCTTAGCACTAAGTCACCCCCCAAAAGACTCACAGAATACAGGAGTTTTTTTGCCCTTTAGATACATAAAACCTATCACATTTTCCAGCTGATCCTGCAGAGCAGAGCACAGAGGGACACTGATGCTCTGTCCAACAGCCTCTGTAAGACAATTCCTCTGAAGCACCAGATGTGCTTTGGTTTAGGTTACAGTGGGAAAGGTGTTACACACCTTGGGGATGTCTGATGGATATCCCCAAGCCAAGGAACTGCTCCCAGCTCTTCCCATTCGCTGTTACTGCTTTCAATCAAATTATCAAACCACCTTTCCATAAGCAATGACAAGGTACCTCAAAAAGTTCCAACTCTTTTTGCTTGCAAGTGAGCTACAAACTAAAGCTGAGTGTTCATTTTTTCTTTCCCCTCATTGTTTACTCATTTATGAGCCACTGCAGCCACTGAACCAGCCACTCTTCATGTCTTACCACTGGTTGGGCTACTCAGTCCACTCAAAGAAATCTTTTCTGTTCTTGAAACAGCTAAGGCATGTTTAATTAGCCTCCATCCCATTAACAGACTCTACAATGCCAGCATCCCAATGCAATCACATATCCAGCCTGGAAAGAGTATCTGTGTGAGCATTGTAGATTTTCATTATTTTTCTTTGTCAAAGTCGTGTGAGAACGTGTGACAGTCTAAGGCAGTGAATTCGCCACCTCAGGAGTTTCCACACACATTTTATGAGTTAATTTATATTGTGAAGGTTTAATGCTTCACACACAAATCCAACAGAAACATAAATCCTACTGCTTTAATTTCAAGTTTACTGATAAGGGCTGTATTTTAGGCAGACCCACTAAAGCTGCTATGGCACTATTACTGTGCAAAGACAACCCAGGCCCAGAAGAGTGACCCAGACTCATGTGAAGATGTCAAGCAGCCACTATTCCCCTTCCCAAACCACATCAGTTGAGAAGACCAACCCATGAGACCTGAGCCCTTAGCAACACCTACGTGAGCACTGTGCAGGAAAACATTCCTGCCAGTGTGTCAGTAACAACCAGCATCTCCCTAACACTTACTGATTTCAGTGCCACCAGCACTCTTCCTGCCATGGCGTGCTGGTGAAAAACAAACCCAGCTCTATTCACTGCAGCAATTCAGCACTCTCTTGCTCTCTACTGCAGTAGCATGTAGTAGCTCTGCTGGCTTCAGCTGGTCCCGAGAGATGGCTGCTCATAGGAGAATAATCCATATTTGTTAGGAAAAAACCACTGGAATTACACAGGAAGATTTTCTGTTTACACCGAAGCCTCCTAACTCAAGCCCCTGAGGTTCACAAACTACTTCTGAAGGAGCTGCAAAGTGTAATGAGAGTCCAGTGCCAGCAGGCTCACGGTCCTGGTGCTCCACAGTGTGCCAACCCCCACATCTTGTGGTGGGCAAACAAAGGGATTATGAGGAAATCACACAAGCTTATTGTTTTCACAGCAGAGGTTTTTCCTTCTCAAACCAGAGATCCCCAAAAGAAAGCCCCAAACCACGTTACTGTTACCCAGCTCCCAGAGGGAGCACAGACTCCCCCGTGCCCGGGGCCATCCCACCCATGCTGAGCTCACCCAGCCACAACCACGGGCACTGCTCATGGATGCCCTCAGCACGCCCTCCACCAGCTTTTACCACAAGTTTATAGTTGAAAACTTCTCAGTTTCAGTCATCCAGCAGAGCAAAGCTGCCTAACATGACCTTAAAATCCATTAACTGGGGTATAAATGCAAAACCTGCTAAACCCTGTCAAAGACTTCGGAATTTGAACAGATTATAAGTTTAAAACTTGCATCAATCCTGATGAATTTGATTCTATGTTCTCACAAATACTTATTTTTACCACAAAATGTTCACCAGCAAAGATGCAATACTATTTTAAAGGCAGCCATTTACATTCTTCTACGTGAATTTGATGTTTTTCTATATCCCACACTTCCAGTACTTGCTTCAGGCACCATACACAAACCTCGATTTGTGAAGTCTCAATCTTATTCACTATTTGATTTTAGGATTTTTTGAATCAGCTTCCTCATCTTAAGACTTATTTTGAGATATGAAAATAGAGAAACAGCTAAAAGCTAGACCACAAAGCGAGCTTTTGGTCTACAAACCAAACGTGTATTCTAAGCCCTGAAGTTTATTTCAGTGAAATAACAAAGTCCTTGAAACCTAAATACCAGCTCTGTCCCATAAATACAGAAAAGTGGCATCATCCAGAGCTTATAGCAAAAACATAGATTTGTCCAAGTTTCTGCTGGAAAAGGAAGACATGCTTTGAAACTGAGCTTAATGCCAGCACTATAAAACGATTTTAAAAAGAGCAGGATACATCAGCATTACTTATAACCTTCAGCATTGTGCAGTATACAAACTGTTGCCAAGCAAACTATGAAAGGATTCAGTTAAGCTGTGCACGTTGAGAAGCCTCTCAAGTCAAATACAGCCAGTACAGTGATGAAATGGTTATCAATACTTCAACAGCCAAACAAAATTTTACATTCTACACAGCTTGTTAAGCACAAGTTTGTGACAAGCCAGAGCATCACAAGGCATGAAGTCACTAGGACTTCAACTTAATGCTAACAAAAAAACTCCTTCAAAATCAATAAAGTGCAGGAAAGAAACAGTTTGCAGCTACTGACAAATTAGTAATGCACCTCTGCAAGTCCCATCCACGCCAGATAAGACTGTTGCACTTCACTGCAGTTTCTCATCATCAGTTCAATGCTAACTTTGGAGATTTACTTCATCCTTGTCACAGTTCACCTGTGTCCCCCATCCAGCTTTACTTCAGCAAAATGAAAGTAAGCCAGAAAGCTTCCTTTCCTGGTTTTAAGATAGAAGTATCTTAGTTTTGACAAAATTGTGTTTAAATGTAATATTTTCACAACTTGATTTCTGATACAGGACTTAGTGCCAAAAAGTTTCCTTTTTTGGAAAAGGAAGCTGTAAACATTTTGGTGAAGGTCAGCTAGGAGCTGACTAGCATTAAACTCTGAGCTTACACATCATGCATGATACATGCATAATGGAAGGAGGAAGAAAAAAAGTCATGTCGTATCTTAGAGTTATTTAGCTGCGTGTTTCAGAACAAACACTCCACTTCCACGACTGCTTTCGCCTCTTCAAGCGGCAGAAGCCCAAGGTGAAGTTTTGAACACAAGCAGCAGTTCTGTGCAAACACAAACCACGAGGAACTTGCATAGAGCGAAGCAGTTCATGCATACTCAGCACGTATGCATTCCATACTCAAGCATCCATACCTATCCCAGGAGGCCTTTGGCTCGTGTAACTTGTTGAAATGGAACGCTTGGTAGAATGCAGTTGACGGATTCCTATGAGATCCAAGAATCAGACAGACATATTGAAAATGGGTACGTAATAAAAATACCAAGTCTCCTAATTCAACCTGCATTGCAAAGTGAATTACCTTGTTAGGTTAAACTAATGCCTGAAAGGCCCTACTGTTTCTATGGGTTTGCATTAAGGACATACAAATCCAAAAAAAAATAGTAATTCTCTCAGGCTATTTCAAGCTGCTCCTGTACAAAGATGACTGTAAGGCCATTAATGAAATGTCTCCTGTCCTGCTGGCAATCCTGCATAGGTATAAGCTGTGCACCACCCTAATGCCAAACATACCTAAATCCAAAAGACACCCTTCACATTTTTGGTATGTCCCAAACTGTCTCTGCACACAGTACCCAGTGTTTCCATCCAGCTTAACCCCCTGCTTTATACTCAACAGATGAGTCCTGTAAGGGCACCTGGAAGTGGGAGCTCAATATGCAACATTCAAGCTATGACAGATGACGTTACAACTGACAACCAGAGCGGTGAGAAGTGAAAAGCGGAAGGTAAACTATCACTCACCCTGTACACAGCTGTCAGTCACCTTCCCACCTCCCCTCCCGAGGTGCAGCAGGGCTGATGGAGGCCCCTGGCCAAGCACTCCCCCAGGGCTCTCCCACAGCTCCATCACCCTGCTGAGCACCGCACACGAAGCCACCTCGGCCGCCAAGGCCCCGGGGCAGCCCCACATCCACCCCACACAGGGCAGCCCCACATCCACCCCACACAGGGCAGCCCCACATCCACCCCACACAGGGCAGCCCCACATCCACCCCACACAGGGCAGCCCCACATCCACCCCACACAGGGCAGCCCCACATCCACCCCACACAGGGCACCTACACCAAGAGTGCTACTGCAAGATCTTAGTCCTCCAAAATCTCATCTGAACACTTGTTGCAAACAAGACACTGGATGAAGCACAGTCAAAGCTCTGCTGCCAAGGGCTGCAGCAGAGCATTGTACTCAAGCTTAGAAACTCCTTTCCTCAAACAGCTCATCCTCGTGCAGGTACAGCTATGTCAGCCCTAGAGAAGGATGCAACAGCATTGCTGAAAAATCTTTGGAAAAGTAAGTATGAGCTCAAATTCCTTTCAGAGCCAGTTTTTAAACCAAAAGTTTATATCAACATTAGAAGCACAGGTACCCATCTCTTCCCTAAGTTTATGGCAAGAATACTTAAAACTTGTCTTCAAGTTACTTAATTATTTCAATCTAAGTACAATCACCGTATAGTTAAAATAACAGAACAAAAGAAATTTAGAAAAAAAATAAATCACAGAAGCAGCACCATAACAAAACACTATCAGAAGTAATTGGATCCCCATGGCAGGTGTACACTAAAAACCTTGCAAGGATAATGGTATTTGTGCATCAGCAATGATCAGGAAGTGTCTGAGTTCTAAATGTCTGTCACTCCTTTTCCCACCTTCACCACTGTACCCTTCAAAAAAAAAAAAAATCCACGTGAGCCTGGAATTTAGCTTAAAACCTGCTACAGAAGTTGCTTTATCCAAGCTGATAAATACCATGCTCTTATGCTGGTACTACTCACATTTTCCTAGGAAGCACTGCACACCTGAGTGACAACTAAATACAACTAATTATAGGAAGAGCAACACAATAGCTAAAGGACATTTGTGTAATAGAAGGACTTAACACAGGGAAAGCAATTGCCATCTGTGCATCAAGAGAGCATTCCTTAGCTGAGGGGAAGGCCCAGGCTCTTCTCTCTAATGCAGCTGCCTGTCAGGAGTACGTAGAGTCTCTTCCTCAGAAAGTGACTGTAAATAGAAAGTCATTTAACTTCCAAGACAAATTTACTTGCAGCATATAAAGCCCTGTTGCTATTGTTAGGTATAAAAAGTGGTTTATAACGACATGGCATGTATTCCATATGGTCTATTTGTATACTGATACCCTTCATGCTCTATATTTTTGTACTATTCTTAAGCAAGCATCTGAAAAGATACAGAAAAGTTTTTCTTGTTAGATTCTTATTTGTATCCCCTGCTATTGAAATTGCTTTTGCATTACTTCAGACAATTAAGAGAATCTTTTCTACTCCACAGCTATATTTTAACAACATATTAATGGGAGTGTGTGTACCTGAACAGGAAAAGCAAACCCACAGAGGCAGCATAAATGATACCTCACTTGCAGGTCTGAACTAATACAACTGAGTTTCAGATTGTTGAGGCATCTACTTCTAACCACAACAAACAGCAAAAGGCTGGAGAATGCCTAAAAACACCTCTCAGTTTGCAGAAACAATTGAGGACACGGCTGGCAGGAGCAGCACAACCCAGCCTGCTGCTGCTGGGCCACAGCAACAAGTCCTGCTGACACTGAATGCAGGGACAGCCTGGAGCACAAGAGCAGATTGTCCAGGTCTCCTCCCTGGACAGGCCAGGCCCGAGGTCAAGGCTCAGCCTCAGTCCTTGGCAGAGTGGCAGTGGAGCCAAGAGCCAGCCAGGAAAGGGATGTCCCTGATGCTGGTCCAGAGATGAGCACCCACCTCCCCTTCCACAGGAGGTACCCCAGCACTCCTCTGTCTCTGCTGAGACAGAACAGGTATCCCCAAGGGTAGAGGGGCTTGATTCCAGTCCCAAACTACAACAGACAACTAGTCTAGCACGCTTGAACATTCAAACTGCATCTCCAGGGGCCAAAGAGGTCTTCAAGTCTCTATAAACAAATCCTACAACACATATTGAATTTATTTTCTTTAAAAGTTCACGAACACCAATATTCACAACTTACTTCCATGTTATAGTTTCTAACAACAGTTTTCATGCAACAGATATTTGATCTAATTTTAAAGGATGAGAACTGAATGCCTGAAATGTAAGTTGTCCCTTTAAAAGGGAAGTCTAAACCACATCCCAAGTATCCCCTCATATTTGGAAGTGTATCCTCCCACTGCCATTCATCAGGATGATCTGCCAAATACAAACGTTATCCTCAAGAGTTCTGTTTGCTAGAAACCATGCCCATCAGAGCTGGCAAATCCTCACCTATACAGATAAATGCCTTTTAGTTTAAATAATGATACTGCCTTTGGAAGAGCAGGGTATCAGCCTGACACACAGAGGCTGCTGCACAGATGCCTTTTTCCCAGCTCCTGCCTCTAAAAGGAATAGTAACGTTGTTCACAAACAAGTTTCAGTCTGCAGGCTGCTGACCAACCTCAGCAACTGAGTGCAAGAACACATGAAAAATATCACTTCTTTCCTCCAAGGCAGCGAAATAAAGCAATCATACTGGACCACCTCGGATAGTTCTCTATCAATATCACTGACTTATTTTCATTAGGTTTGAGAACAGGAATGACCCAGAAGATTCAAAAGGCTGTCTTTGAAGAAGACAAAAACAACAGGTCAGACAATCTCTGCTCAATACCTCCGAGGAAAACCAAAGCAAAACAGAAGCACCTATTTATTATTACCTAGACAGCAGCAAGCAGATGCAGATGGCCTTTCAAAAGCTCACATCAGCCAGAAATTCCTTCTGAGAACAATTAACAGGCCTCATATAGAAAAACACAGAGGATGTGATCATGTTATAAAGTGAGTAGAGTTTTTAATGCCATCTTGCATAACATTTTTGTAGGTAAGAGCGTGGCTCATACAAAGAGGATGCACCATTGGTAACTACTCTGTGCATGTGGCTCACCAAATTTAAGATTAGAAAGTATCAGTAAGACATCCATTATTGTCACGTTCCTGCTCCTAGAAGTAAGGTCACTGATCGTACAGTGATGCATCAATAGGACTGGGAAGTCAACAGCAAGCTCCAGCTCTCAGTCTCTGCACAGAGCTACAGGAGCCAGGCATCAGGCCTGAAAAAAACCTGTTCTCCAGCCACCTTAATCAAAGGAAACACACTAATGTGTAACTCTGTGCACCTACGTTAGTGCTACAGAGCCAGAAGTGAACCAAACACTTGGAGAAAGAAGTGATTCAAAATACCCTGAAGAGGAAGTCAGCAAACAGACACATTTAGCTTTTTTGTAACATGAGTATTACTGTTGAACAGGCAAGAGACCTGATGGTAAGATAAGCACACAGGCTGAGCTCAAGAGAACTGTCAGCATACATGGATGTGTCTGTGCACTAAAGGACAACAGATGAATTCCTCCTTAATGTCTAAAATTTATAAAAGATTGGATGTACCTTTATCCATAAGCACTTCAGACCCAAGGTAGTTTTCAGTTCTGTGTTTCAGTGCTCCCCAATAAAAGGCTATTTACTAGGATACTGGCTATGACCTACAGCTGGTCTCCAAATCACAAACCTTGACAGGGTTTATCTGGGATCTGGGCAAGGGATTTGATGATCACTTGATCACAGCTTATCAGGGAACACCCAGCACAGTTCATGGCATTTTGAGATGATGTTTACACTAGTAACAGAATTCCTTCTCCAGCCCTCTCCTTTTAAATGACTTTATTTTTATCACCTTCTATTTAAAGCAGCTGCAACTTTGAATCAGCTTTCTTTCATAAGACTCAATCTACAAAACAATAACTGGAGCACAAAGCTTTGCAGAAGAAAACTGACAGGGACTAAATGTGGGGGAGTTGATGTGGAATTAAGGAAATAATATCTCAAGCTCTGAAGTTATATGTTTAATTGAATATTCTGTTCATACCATTCCTTAAAGCTGTTAAACTTGCAATACATATTCAGAAAAAACAGCAAGAATTCAAAGCTTTAACATTCAGTTTTAGGTACATTCTAGCTAGAGGTGGCAGGAAAGGCTGACTCAATTAACAGCCTGCATGACAGTTTTTGGGACAGCAGCTCTCAAACATCACAATGGACTTTAAAGGAGTTCACAGGTTACTACAAAATTAAAATATTGTAACAGTGCAGAGAAAGCACACTGCATGGATCTGATCTTCACTGGAAAAATCAAGAGCAGCAGCCTATACTTTCTTCACCTTGCTCTCAAAAAGAGGATTTCAGCAAATAATCTCTTG